CGGTCACGTGACGTCGCCTCCGCGCCGCGCTCACCACCGTCACCAATATGGCTGCCGCCTGCCATTCCGCTACACCACAGTCACACCACGCCACACCACACACGCTTTCTAAAATGTTCTTGTGTCACGCACGCCACCTTTAACGCAATCGAACATTATTTTTGTGTTGCTACTTCTTGGTATATTTTTACCCTTTTAGGCCTGCCGAACAATTAGTATATGGAACTTGCCGAGTCTTTCGAATTCTGTTAGTCGAGTTGGCCCTCTTTTCCCTCCATTGGTCTTGTAATCATTCTCCGAATAAATCCTCCAAGATGCTTCCTGTCTTCATTTTATGCCTTACTCCGTGTGTTTGCTTGGACCACGCTTTTCGTGCCTACTCAAAAGTAGTCTATCTCTTCTCTTAGTTCGGATTCCCTCTCGCGCGTGGCAGCGATATCCTTAGTGGTCACACTTACTGCCAGTGCTTTGAACCCACACCCGCCTTCATTTCTTTCTTCTTCAATTCTTCAAAATTATGGGTAGGCGGCGCAACCGAAAACCTAATCTCGGCTCTACCTCCACTGCTGATGATTCATCATCCACTGCGAAGGACCGACCTTCTCACCCTTCTCCCTCAGCTCATAACCCTCCATTAACTCCTGGACCGCCGCAAACCCCATACCCACCCTTTTGCGTATCCCCATCCCACCACCGTACCCTTCATTTTCGCGATAATTTCTCTCACTGGCGCACCTTCCTCCAACTCCAACTCCCTCTTGTCCCCCCAGAACATAGAAGTTGTTTTATTCTCTCTGCAATGTCCCCAGATGTCCGCGAAGAACTTTTAAGTAGGATTCCGGTTGACTCCCAACCGGAAGTTATTCTGGATACTCTGGAACCCCTCTTTGGTTCCGGTTTCCACCCAAAAGAACTACTGTTCCAGTTCTTCGACCGCGGGCAAGCTCCAAGCGAAACAGTCCAGGAATACTACACTGAACTTTCCCGCCTCGCGCGTTTGGCATACCCCCCAGACGGAACGAACGCACCCCTATTGCCTCGCTTCGTGACAGGCATCCGAGACAAAACCTTACGCCAACAATTTGGAGGCAAAGTCCCTGGGTCTCTGGATGAAGTCTTTGCTATCGTCGAACGTCCCAAGCCGTTCCAACCCCATAGCCCGCCACATACCTCCTCCTACAATAACCAAACCTTACTCTCTCCACACAATTACCCTAGCTATACGCCATCAGCTCCTCCACTTTACCCAAACCCACCCCCACCCCCCTATACTCAGACAACATTTAGTAACCCGCGACCCCGTATTCCTCCCCAAAAACCCACACTTATTTATGATCCCGACCCCTCGAAGTGCGGCTATTGCAGACTCTTCGGAAAATCGGCCATACGCTGCGGACACAACCGAACAAGTGAGTTAACCTTCCCCTCTAGCTCTGTAATCTTTACCGAATCACGCTTTGGCTGTGCAAGGTCATATAGTCTCACAAGTCCACTATCCTCATTGGCACGGGAGCAGCAGTATCCATAGTCAACCCCAAGTTCTCCGCCATCGCAAACCTCCCAGTGTCAATCCCTTCCACCCCACTGGTCCTCTCAGCGAACAGCTCCACACTGAACACCACAGGCTCAGTTGTGGCCCGCGTTAAGGTTGGTTCCATCCAAGCCCAATATTTCTTCCCTGTCTCCCCGGATTGCCGGTGGAATGTCGTCTTAGGGTACGACTGCCAACGCACTCACAAGTGTGTCATCGACTGCTGCACGGGCCAGGTTGGTCGTGTACAACCGGAACCTTCTCCCCCAGTGCTCGACGTCGACGCTATCAGCCCCCCATCAGAACCCACATCGATAACTGACATTCTTCCCTCTAACGCTTCACTGTATAGTTGCCTCCAATTACATAAACTTCTGGCAAAGTATGCCGATGTGTTCAACTGGACAGGTCGGGACATCGGAAAAACTAACGTTATCCAACACACCATAAAAACCGGCGACTCTCCCCCACGACGAACAGACCTGGACGACCTCATTGACCGCCTTCTTCGGCAAGGCATCATTATCCCGTCATCCTCCCCATGGGCCGCACCAGTCACCACCGTCAAGAGGAAAGATGGCTGCCTCAGACTCTGAATCGATTATCGGAAGCTTAACGTGGTAACAATTCGCGGCTCTTTTCCCCTTCCGCGTATGGACGATCTCCTCAATGCTCTGGCCGGGCAAAAGTATTTCTCCACTCTCGACCTCTCCAGCAGCTATTGGCAAATAGACGTGGATCCAAAAGACCGCTTTTATGCTTCCCTCTAGCCTCTATGAGTTTTGTACCCCTCCCATCGGCTTAGCCATCGCAGCAGCCACCTGTCAACACGTAATGCAGAAAGTTCTTCAAGGCCTTTTCCAACAAAATGTGTGATCTATCTTGACGAGTCATAGTGTTCTGCTCAACTGAGAAGGAGATGTTGGACAACCTAACTGAAGCCCTTCAGAGATATCGTCGAGCAGGTCCGACCATTAACCCGAAAGAGTGTTGCTTCTTGCAGCAATCGATTAAGTTTCTTGGACACGTGATGTCGGAGTTTGCACTCTGCAGATTCTGACAGAATTAACCTAATAAGGAATGGCCCACCTCCTCAGACGAAGTGCGATCGTTCTTAGACCTGTTCGACTATTACCGCGCTTTCATCCCTGCGTACAGCCGGATCGCATTTCCTTTCCAACTGCTTACGGAGAAAGGCAGGTCCTTCAATTGGTCGTCGGAGTATGAAGAGTCCTTCACACAACTTAAACAATGACTAACCTCGGCCGCCACTTGATGCTTCCTAATCTAGACACCAAGGCATCACCATTCATCCTGGACACCGACGCTAGTAGCCACGCCACAGGTGCAGTCTTATCCCAACACGGAACCGATGGCGCAGAACACGTCATGGCTTATGCGAGTAAGGCCTTAGATATGGCTGAACTCAATTACGGCACCACTAGACGCGAGCTTTTGGCGATTGTTGCGTTCACTTGCAAGTTTGCCGTGTACCTGAAAGGGAAACCTCTGAGATTCGATCCGATCATCAGGCTCTCACCTGGTTGCGGAGTTTTAAAGAACCGGAGGGTCAACTAGCCCCGTGACAGATGGCCTTAGCCGAATTCCAATTGGAATGTCGCCCTTTCTCGACTTCTAACCCTTCAATCGATTCCCAATACCTCAGGCGATCTGGGCGACATCAACATTTTCACAGTCCACTCCAGCACTACAAATTGGGCGAAACTGCAAACAGAGGATCCGGACACGGCTCTAATTTAGGGCAGACAACTTCACGGCCAACGAAAGCCTTCAACTAAAGAAATGAGCGGCCAAAGCCAAGACGCTCACACCTGTGGTCCTTCTGGAGCAGCCTCTTTCTCCGCGACAACGTCCTTTATTTCCAAAACGATACAAACTCCCCCGTTCGTCTAGTGGTTCCTCAATCAATAGCACTCGCTGTTCTCACAAACCTTCTTAATCAATTGAGCCGTCCCGGACAAGGCAGCTCGCCAACGTCTTTGGTCACCGAATTTAAGACATGAAGTTTGTCTTGTCTATTCCTCGTGTTCCACTTGTTTTCCGCTAAAGGCGATGGGCTGCGTAAAAACGCGCACAGCCCCTTACTATCCCGTGGATAACGGTCAAACTGAAAAGGCTAACAGATCTCTCCTACGCGCCTTCATTTCCACAGTCAACAATGATATCTCGGACCAGCTCATCCCACATTGCCTACTCGCCTACAGATGTACAGTCTACCGGATTCTCCCCTGCTCTCTTGACGTTCGGTCGCGAACTCCAAACCCTCTTCGATTTACAGTTCCTACCCTAACGCCCGACACCACATGTTCCCAGCGAATGTATCACACAACTTGTGGATATTCACCGCACCACCAGCGCCCTCGCTTGACAACATCTAAACTCCAGTCTGAAACACCAAAAACGATTCTACGATCGCACGGCTCACGGAGCTCCCTATCAACCAGAGAATGAAGTCCGACTTCACCAACTCTACCCAAACCGCGGTAGCTACACGAAACTGGACAAACCCTACTCAGGTCCCTTCGTGGTCGTCCAATCACTCCCTAACAATGCCTATCGCTTTCGGCCCGTCTCCGACCCATTCGCCGATTCTCTTACAGTACACTTTAATCGCCTCAAATCCGGACTTGAGAAAACTCACAACACTGGTACAGAGGACCTAATACCGGAGGCAGACATTCCAGTCCACCACACAGTCGAAATTCCACACAGAAATCCTTCACCTCAATTTCACTAAGGGCAGTGCTCTTCCGAATGTGGGGGCTCTGTCACGCACGCCACCTTCCACACCATCGAACACTGTTCATGCCTGGTAACTTTTTCCTGTTTTTACCATTTTAGGCCTGCCCAACGGTTAGTATATGGATCTTGGCGTGTCTCTCGAATTCTGTCGTCAAGTTGGCCCTCTTTCCCCTTTATTCGTATTGTAATCATTCTCCATATAAATCCTCCAAAAAGTTTCCTGTCTTCATTCCATGCTTTAGTCCGTTTGTTTGCTTGGGCCATGCTTTTCCAGCCGCGTCACAAGTATTCCATCTCTTCTCTTAGGTCAGGTGTCCTTGAGACACCAATCACACAATAGTTTACTGATGCTAGAATATCCGTTTATCATTAATGGTTGTGTCGACAGCTAACTTTAAAATGACTTTTGCCTTGTTTTTTTCCCCAGATGCTGCTTTTTTTATGCGGGTCTTTGCATTGTTTGATCTAAAATCAGTATTTTTAGTGGGCGCAAACCTTTAACTTCGATATCCTTACGTAGGACCTTAACGACCAAGTCATGAATTTTGTATATATTTGGTTTTTTTAAAGAATGTTAATCCTAGAAAACTAGGTGTAATTTGGCCATTGATTTATTCGTAATTTTTTTAGTACTGTAATTACCATTGAAGGTTTAAAGTAGAGTATGATGAGGTGCTATGCATTTGAATGCAGCACAATTGGATTTTTAAACAGCGCAACAAGGTTTTTGTTAAAAGAAGCTTATGCATCTGCCTGTGTAGGTGCCTTTTACGATAATGGGATACTAAATCAAAACATCAAAATCCTACGCATTGTGTTGATACCCATTTTGGTCACTCTGGATTTGACGGTCGGTAGCTTTTTATAAATATCCCGATTAATCAGCAACGCAAGCTTATTCTTCTTCGATTTTCTTTATGCCAGGTGCCTTTGTGGTGGCTTGTGGTCTAGCACTACCTTGCAACCCTGTAGTTAACGGGTCGTAACAACTCGAGAATGGAGTGTAGAGAGGCGACGCACGACGCGACCGTTTATTTGCGTCACGCCAGCCAAGTGTGTCTTAATGTGTGCATGAGTGAACGGAGGACAGGATTCTAATAACAGTAACCAATGGAAAGGAGAGGAGTCATTGTCACCGTTAGTTCAGTAAACAGGGTTCACTCAGCCGCGATCGTTGTTAATTCGCTACAAACATCTCCCCCTCCCGAGAGTGTGAGCTGTGAAACGATGAACTCGAAAACTATCGAACAAAATCAGCAAAGCGGACAACGGGTCTCAGTGGTCGGCCAAGACAGGAGGTTGGGCAGGGTGGGGATACGCAGATTCCAGAGTTCGTCGTTGCTTGAGCATGTGGAAGGAACATTGTTGGCTTCCGTGTTCACAGTATCCAGCGTACCATTTTTGTCAATTACGTTAAATTAGTTGGCGTGTTCTACCACCTTAAAGGGGCCATCGTAGGCTGGTTGCAAGGGTTTTTTCCACCATCAACGCGGACAAATGCATAAGGCGAAGAATGGAAACTTGGCTGGACCCGTGCTTGTTGTGAGGGCATTTTTGTCGGGGTTTGTTGAATTTCCTTTATGTAGTACTTAAATTGATCGACATGATAAAGATGGGAACTCAATAGTGTGGTCAGAGTTGGTGACCATTTCACCAGGCAGACGGAGTCATACCGCGTACGAGTTCTGCTGGTGTGGAGTCAATATCTTCCTTTACCGTATTTCGAATGGCTAATAAAATCAGTGGCAATGAGTCAGACCAGTGATTCGAGGCATCTTTCGCAATAATGGCTGATTTCAATTGTCGGTGGAAACGCTCAACCAGACCATTAGATGCTGGATGATATACTGTAGTTCGAAAATGCTTGCATCCAAGAAGGCGGTTTAGGTCTTGAAACAAGACGTAAATTGTGCGCCGCGATCAGATGTAATAGAACTGGGAACACCGAATAAGGAAACCCAGGATTCCATAAATGCGCGGGCAACAGTTTCGACGAAGCTATCTTCAATACGTACTGCCATAGACCAACGAGTTAAGCGATCCACACAAGTTAGTCTATATGTACATAAGGGGAAATGTCTGGGTTGTGATATATTATGACGGTGGACTTTGCTCCGTTGACATTGAATACAGAGTTTAGCCCACAAGCGAACATCTTTACGAATGCTAAGCCAAATAAAACGGTTAGTTACGAAGCTCACTGTGGCGCGAACACCAGGGTGTGAAAGTGAATGGAGATACTCAAATATCTGTTTTCTAAATGGGGTAGGAACAAAGGGCCGAGGTCTGCCAAGTGATGAATCGCATATAATTTTTGTAGAACATTGGGGAAGTGGCAGCTCTTCCAGCTTTAGACTAGAATTCCGACAAAGCTCTTGTAATTCAGGGTCATTCATCTGCACTGCCGCTAATTGCTCAAGATCGATACCAGGAACTGAAAGATTGTGGATATGTGCTCGATGTTATCATTCCTTCAACGTAGCGAATATTGGTTGTGAACTGTGCAGCATAGTCAAGGTACATGGATTCGCGTGGGGAATACCGATCAAGGACTGCATGAAAGGCATAAATCTGTGGCTTATTACCGGTAAAAATTGTGACGAAAGTGCCTCACAGCAAGACAAATCACCAATAGTTTCCTGGAAAAGGTACTGTAACTGGTTCGAGGTAGTTGAAGCTACCGAGAAAAGAATGATAACGGCTCAGGACGACCGTCCGGCTCTTGTTGAAGGGAAGCATCTGTTCGTAAGACAAATTTTGCTTCTTTCTTCCAATAGCACAAATTTGTGACCTCTGCTATTGCGTCTTTAAGGGCTTTAAAAGCAGCTTCAGCCTCTCTAGTAAGCTTTAGCTTCTTGGGATTGCCTTCAAGCAAGTCGGTCAAAAGAGACAAAATTTCAGCGCCACGTGGAATGAATCGTACATAGTAATTGACCAAACCAAGAAAACGGCGTAGGCTACGGGGGGATTCTGGTATTGGATACTCCCGAATTGCTGTTGTTTTCTCAGCCAGGTATCCTAGGAATTCCACAGTGTCCACTCCAAAAACACATAAGACGGGTAAAAACTTGCCGTACGTGCAGCAAATGTTCGTCATCGTCTTTGCTGGAGATGAGAATATCGTCAGTGTAGACAAAAACGAAGTCGAGATTGCGGAGAACTTGATCCATGAATCTCGGAAAGGTCTGTGCTGCGTTGCGTAAACCAAAAGGCATTCTTAGGAACTCAAGCAGGCCAAAATGGAGTAATAATGGCAGTTATAGGGACGTCTTCGGGGGCCACAGGCATCTGATTATAAGCCCGTAGAAGACCAAATCTTTAAAGAACTTTAACACCGTTTAAACCCAATGAAAATCGTGGATATGAGTGATGGGGTACAGGTCAGGGACTGTAACATTATTTAGGACTCGGTAATCATCGCAGGATCTCCAGTCCTCCGATTTCTTAGTTACCATGTGTAAAGGAGCCGCCCATGTGCCAAGACGGCACATATGTTCAAGCTCTGCTCTGGCTGCTCCGAGCTTATCAGGGGCAAGTTGTATGGCCTTGGCGGTCGTTGGTGGACCTTCAGTCACGATATGATGCATGACTTGGTGAGTAGGATCGCAGGGCTCCTGAGTCACTTTGACAATGTCAAATAACTTCTTCAAAAGTTTATCCTATCCGTCAGAGTCGGGCAATGCCAGGTGGAGTCCAATTGAATTAGAGACTCCTCGAATAGATTGTGTTGTATTTGAGTCCATAAACATTCGTTATGCCATATCAACTAGTAAACCAAAATGGGAAAGAAAATCAGCACCAATTATTGGGCACTGAACATCAGCCATGGTAAGAATGAAGGTAAATTGTCGTCTTAGGCCTAGATCTAAGGTGAGAAACTTTTGGCCAAATATTGCAATGGGCGAATGGTTCTCAGCTTGAGGTGGCGTTTGTCAGGTCCTAGAGAAGTTACGCTAACCTCGGCACCGGTGTCAATCAAAAATTTTAAACCACTGTTTGAACCGGGGACGTAAAATAGGCCACTAGATTAAGTGCCTAAACCAGTCGTCGCCATTACTGGCAGGTCTTCTGGTTTCCCGAATGTAAATTGGACGGCTTGAAACCTGGGGGTAACTACATGGGTATTTACAGGCTTGTACCTTGTCACCATACTGCCGATGATACCAACATAGGCCTGATCTTTCTCCATTTTGGCTGGATCGACGAAAACTTGATGAAGAACGTTTTTAACGTTGCTGGTGTCTGCAGAAGCTCCTCGGGTTACCTCTAGTAAGTTCATCGAATTTCATTGACAGTTCGTCTAGTCGTTCTCCCAAATTATTGTGGTGCCAGAGAAAACAGTCTCATGACCCGGTCCCTGAGTTAAACAATCGTGGATTTCATCGACTATCTCAGTGAGTTTCTCCAGTGGTGTGTCAGAGATCTGGATTGAAATTATGGTATTAGTGTTCGCGGGGAGACAAATAGCCCATGGCTGGCGCAGAACAGAGTCATCGACCTTGTTATCTCCGGCAAGGTTAAGCATATGCCGGAGGAGTTGCGAAGGAAACCTGTCACCAAGTTCAAAACCAGAAAGGAGATGTCGAAGACGGACCTTGTTCGAGGTGGTAGTTCGAGCAAGAACAGTAGCTTTTAACATGTCATAAGAATTTATAGAGGGCATTCTTTCAATCATGTCAATTAGTTCAGTTGCAACTGTTGTTGGTAGTAGAGGAACGACGTGCAGGTACTTTGAAGACTGAGAATTAACCTTCTGATTGCGAAATTGAGTCTCGATTTGCATAACCTACACTTGAGCATTGGAGTTGTAACGTTCTTATTGTTCTTAGGGAAGAGTACATCAGTAGAGTCAGATATTGTAGATAAAGAATCGGATTGTAAAAATAATTTGACTGAAATCATCGGGTAACGGAGTCGAAAGAAACTGATTTCGTTTGCCGGGCTACAAAATGTAGTGGCTAGAGATGTTGCACTACCTTGCAGCCCTCTAATTAACAGGCCGTAACATCCCTAGAGTGGAGTGAAGAGTGGCGGCACAGGACACGATCGTTTATTAGCGTCACGCCAGCCAAGTGTGTCTTAGTGTGTGGATGAGTGTGTAGTGCAACGACGTCTGAGGGCGCAGATATATTGGACCACCCTGGCCTCAGCCAGTTCTCTGTCTCTCTATGTTTCAGTGGCATGCGAGGAAGATAGGCAGCCAAGCAGAGAAAGACACGAATGAGGAGCAGTATATAATGAGCGGTGTGGCTAGTGTAGCTGTGGCGACGGATTAGGGCGCAGACATGCGAGACCACCTGGCCTCAGCCAATCCTGTGTCGCTCTGCGTTCCAATGGCATGCGAGGTAGATAAGCAGCCAAAGAGGAACACGACTGAGGTGCAGTATATAATTAGCGGCGTGGCCAGCGGGGTGGACTCGGATGGAAGGCGCCTGACTTGTGGTTCTGGCTCGTGATTGGTCGATAAAGCCTGTTCTGTTGTACCGGTCTTTTTCTTATAAGGGCTCGGGGAATCTACATAGCGGCGTGACAGATAGCAGCCATATTGGTGTTAATCCACTGGTCGAAGGTGAAAAGCACGCCATGTTGGCGACATCATGGGACCGGGGGTGCGACTTCTGGCCGTGTGGAGTCACGTGGGCATTAAATGACGCGCCGCGGACTGAGAGCCAATCCGCTCACGAGTTTTCTTTCTCCATTGCAGCGCCCCGAAACGGACCAATGGGAGAACAGGACGACGACTACAAGGATAAATACAGACCCTGTTTTCCCTTTTACGCCCGACCTGTTTGTGACTAGATTGTGGCTTGTTTCAGCCTTCGTTAAAGTACTCTCTTTTGCCTTACTCTCTCTCTCTTTTTGACCATACCATGTGTTGGAAACTTACACTAGCATGGTGGACTCGGATGGACGGCTCCTGATATGTGGTTCTGGCTTGCGATTAGTCAGTAAAGCCTGTTCTGTTGTACCATCTCCTTCATACTAGGGCTCGGGTATTCCGCAAGTGAACAGATGACAGGAATCTTATAACAGCAGCCAATGGAAAGGAGATGAGTTTTTGTCACCGTTAGGTAAGTAAGCGGGGTTCAGTCAGCCGCGATCGCTGTTAATCCACTACCACTTAGCCCTTTATGAACTGCGATTGAAATACAGTATCCATAAGATTACGCCGAGATTTACATGCAAATTTCGTTGTGTCAGAATAATTTTTCAGATTTGCTTCTACTGACCTAAGTTAATTGAGTCCATAATGTCATAGGCCCTAAGCAGTGTGCCGTCTAGAATTTCACCAAAGTGTCTGTTTCTACCATTAGGTTTTGTTCAATTTTTTTAAACTTTAAGACTTTGTTGCATGGAAAGTTTACATTGCCTACCAACACGCAGCACCTTTTTGTCATAAAATTGCAATTGGTGTGTTGAATATGTTGTGCTGTCGTTCCTCCAGTAACTAACTCGCAAAATAGAACGAATTGAAGAAGGCGAGAAATAATTTTGGAACATCATCACACCCATTACTTTTGCTTTTAAGTATTATCCTCAGACATATACGTGGCCTTTTCTTACAGCCCTTTACAATGTCCATTGGTTAATGTCCATCCTTTTTTTCGCTTATTGGATTCGAAATATATCAAAATTCTGGCAGCTTTAACTCTGCAATGTTAAACAAAAAGCTTTGACATTTGATGTGGCAACCTTTAGCTTGAAAATTGAAATCTAATGCATTCTGTTGACCTTGAAAACAAAAACTTTGAAGAATCGCTGAGACGCATAATTGTAAAAGCACCTTCAACATGTATCTGTTATCTTAAATGACATAAATTATGAAAACACATTATTATACAAAGTGCTCACCTATCAATTCAAGACAATGTCCTGGTAATGCTTTTAGAATGTATTTTAAGCGAATATTATTCCATTCTACAACAAATTTTGGTGGTAATATAAGTTCAAAACAAGCAACTTTTAAAAAGGAACTTTTGTTAGAAAACATACTTATTTATATCGGAAGATTTTTTGCGGTTATCATTTGAAGGTAATGGGCTTTTATAATGAAATAAATTTGCTGTGTATTTGATTTGTTCCTCGTTGGTTCAAGGCCAAGTCTCGGCTTTCCGTGCATGCTTATAAGGCCGCGGGTCTCAAATGAATTTGCTTCTTACGATTTCCGTGTAGAAATGCGAACATCGGTGGTACATGTCATTTTTCTACTAAGTGTCGTTTTTGTAGGAAAATACAAAACCTTTGATTGAAAACAGTCTTTCAGTTCACTTCAGTGATGGCGTAAAGTACATATCTCATATAATTTAATGTTTTAACCTGCATAGTCCAACTCCCGACGATGTTGTAAAGTATGTGCATTGCATTCTTGATGCAATTTGTTCAAATCTGAACCGTCGTGATGTTAATGAAGATTCGATTTTGCTTTCTCTTTTGGTCCGGATTGAAAATGCATTTTCATACCGTCACTTCCATTTTTTCCAATCTCTTAAGGGTGAAGAGCTCCGAGGTAAAGCATGCCATTAAGTTTGACTTTTTTAACCTTTTTTGTTGTTATCATGGCGTATTCAGTCAAGAGTGTGTTCATTGAATATATTTACCTCCACTATAATAAGCACACAGAATTGACGTTTGTCGAGTTAACTTGAAATGACTTTACGTACTAATCTCAATTAAAATGTATTTCAGTTTTCTTGTATTGGTGCCTACACTGCTTGCTGTGGATAGGTGCCCGTGGTCCATATCGCCAAGTTTCGGCTATTTCGTCTACTGTCAGCCAACTTATCAAGATGATTGAGCGACATTCCCTTTCTGAGGTTAAGTTAGTAAGCGAATATTTGATTTCTACGTCAATGGGTATGTCATCTTACAAATAAATACTACGTTAAGCTGTCCTGAATCAAATGGCTTTGTACGATGATAGTTTGGGTCGTAATAATACGGGGAAATTTCATTTTGCACTGCCCACTTTATCAATTTCCTCTGAATGTTTGATTCTTGTAAGTGTTGCCTTGCCTAACCTTTCGCACTTTTAGAACAAGGATATTAATCTTCGTTTTTGTCCTTTTACACTTACAAGTATCGACGAGGCTTACAGATTTGTCTTAGTGATCTGGTAGGGCTTCAATTAATACTTTCAAGCGGAACTCACCTAGTCAAACAATATCTGCCTGCTTATCCAACTTTATGGCAATGCGGCCACATTTTGCGGACAAGGTTTTTGGTTTTTTTCTTGAAGTTATCAACCTCTCCGATCTGAACGGTAAACTGGTGAGATTAAATCTATATTTTTGCACCTTCTCTCAGCTATTAACCTTGAAATCTCACAACCTGCAACTTTTCTCCCCAGGCCTGTTTGGAAGCTGCGTTAAAATGCATTCAATCCTCAGAGTGCTTAGGCAACACAACTATGCCACCATTTTTGCGATTAATGGATACAGTTTGTTTGTTGTCAGTTCGGAGTTTGGAATGTCTCTCGTTTCTGACCGAATCTGCAGGTGATGACTCCACCGCCTCGTTCCATAAGTTGTATGGGCCTGGCACATTCGTTTCAGCTTGTTGCAATATTTTAAGAAGTATTTATCGCATCTTACCAAGTTTATGCACCCAGTGGATTGGCATCCCGAATCACTATGTGGCTGAATTAGTCAAGGTATGTCGATGCGAACATTTTTAAATAATAGCTGGTTGTCATCGTAGAAGTGCGGGTCCTGTTTGTTTAATTTACCAAGTCAAAATCTGCCGAACAACAGAGAACTTTTTTCAAGTCTGATTGAGTTCCTGAGTCATGATCCCAGCTACGTCCCCGAGCTCAGGAAGGTTCAGATAGATGTTTTTAATAGGTTCATTTGTGATGATTTTCTCTTGAAAAGTATCTTGTGTGACAACCACTGTACGAACCGCGCTTCTTTAGAAGAGGATAGATTCTGGCATCAGGTATTATTTTTTTCATTCATAATAAAGTAGGTTGTCTTTTTTCTCTCAAATGGCTTCAAAAGCTCGGGAGTCGAATCCCTTAATTCTTTTTTAAGCCAACTTGGCTTAACATTTGTATCTGAAGAGCATGCTGACTGGTCTCTCCTCTCACCCAAAGTATCAGCATCCATTTGGTGCGCTGAATTTGGGCACGAGTAAGAACCCTTGTTCATTCTATTCTAATATTAGGTGGCGCGAGCCCGTTGGGACCTTAGTTGACTTGATACTTCCTTTATTGCTGAGAAATTTCTCTCTTACAACCTTAGACGTCGACTTCGATTCGCGGGACCTATTTTACAAAATCAACCTGCTATCTTTTATTCTGAGTTTCTCTCTGGGTAAAAAATGTGTTACTTTTATCGTGTAGATTATAACGTTATGATCGACTTGAATGCAAAGGAAGTAAAAAGGTTGTGGAAATTCTTTAAAAACGTATCCGTAGGACATAACTTTATTTAATTAATACGCCTCTAGACAATGTCTTCAAGAAACTGTTTGCTTTTGGGAGTATCCTTACGAGCTATCGCGCTGCTGATATCCTTTTCACACACTAACCGTTTTGACTCGCCTCTCGATTTCTTACCAATGTTATTGAGCAAGATGCTGCCGCTTGGTGATTGTCTTCTTCATTGGCTGGAGACCGTTTCGTTGCACGAGAAATATGCTTTGGCACACTCCTTAGTGCTTCTGCTTGAAGAAACATCGAAGTAACAATTAGTTTATGCTTCAAAATTAAACATCTGATCTATGAGTTTTTAACCTGATATCATTTAGGTATATTCAAACATGTGAGGAAATTGGACCGAACATCCTAAGTGGGGCCTCGACAATAGCAAAAATGGCGATATGTCTCAGTTGGTCAAAAGCCGATGGCGAAAAATGCGTTCGGTGTTCAGGGCTGATTGCGTTAACTGAACCCAAACCCAAGCCAGTCGATGTCACCACAGTGCTCGACCTTTTGAATAATCAGCATCTCAATGGTATTTCACTTTTTACCATTTTACACTCCTCCTTTTACACGTATTATTGGCCGCCTTTTCTTTTAGCCAAGGGGCCATTTGCCCTTCATGTTGCTCAACACCTGTCTTGGGATGTTTGTAGCAACGGTGAAATTCGTCACTTCATAGAATCTCTTTTGGACCTACTTCAAAGTGTTGATCCTCTATCTGTAACAATGCTAAGGTAAGCCATGATTTTTACAAACTTTCGCTTGTTTAACTGGCTTTGGTTCATTGAAAACTCGTTTACTTAATTGAAAGTAACCTGTTTTACTAGCTGACGTTCAGCCCTCCCGTGTGGGGCCTGGTTTAATGGTCTTGAATTGTCGGCACGTACACCCTTTTTTTATTGAATAGCGCAAGGCGTAGGAAGTTAAACATTGACGCTCCTCACTGTTGCTTAAATGCAAGGGTGTTTTTTCGTCAAACCGAAATCTATTATGACGTCATCCCGCCTTCCTTTTATTTTTGAACGGAGCAGAATTACCATTCATTTATTCGACACTAAATTTAGAGCGTGTATCTATAATCTGCGTGGCTATTGGGACACAATGGCTCCAACGGTACAGATTCACTATTCGTCTGATAATTTTCTTCGTTTTTCACTTAGTTCCAACAAATATGTTTTTAATTACAATGGAGTTTGAATAAAACTCGTAATTCTAGCCACAATTTAAACCAGTCCACGACTGAATTCGACTTTGCTTTGCTTTCATGTTTGTATCGTTTTGCTAGACCACTTGGCTGTAGTAATCGGTGACTATCCTACTTTTATACTTTAGTGATATTTTCACCGAGGTCTGTAGCCGCCTCCTTTCTCGTGACCCGTCTCACTGGGCTCCCCTACACCGCTTGCTGCTCGACCGACTCTCTCTTAACTCCGATCCAGACTCGTCTGCATACCAGGAGACCTGTCTCCTAGCCGTGGGCGGTCTTGGTAGACAGCTAGCAGCTGGCATCCAGAATACGGACCCCCTTATTCTTATGGGTACTTCCGCTGATCCCAATGGTTCATCTGGAAGAAGGAGAACTTTAACAACCTCGCGGAAAAGTTGTCCTGGTGCTGATTTGGCTAAATTCGACGCTTCATGTGGTGGTGATGGATGTCAACAAGAATTTATTTACTATGACCTCTTAAAGGAGACCGTGGCAGTTCTTTGCCGCCTTGGAATCGTTAATCGGCATTGGCATAGCCTCGTGGGCGAGACTTCAATTCAGGTTCAAATCGAAAACTTTTTTTAAACTTGTCATATTTGCACATTGCCTGGAAGCCAAACCATCATTTAGTTTATCATTTTTTAACTGAAATTGAGCTTCTATAGAAATGACTTTATCTTATTTGGTGATTTTCACTCTGATCATGGTTTCTATAGTGCTGACAGACTTTCCTGATAGTTTCCATTATACACAGCACTTTTTTTACTGCCTTGCTCTAGATTGATAAACTCTCAGGTATCTTAGATTCAACCACAGCGTTTCTTCTTCGCAATGCGAAAAGACAGATTGCAAGGGTAAGCAAGCACATTTACCATTTCAAAATCACCTATCACCTAAAAACTTATCAATTTAACCCTCAGGTTCTCGTGGAACATTTGGATCCTTCGGTCTCCCAGGCTTTCGAAACTGTTGCTCGTATTTTTCGGTTAGATAAGTTGCACGTAATTCGAGTAAGTAGTACACATTTAATTTCTCTATGAGGGCATTTTAGTATCAGCTTAGTACAGTAAATTGCTCGTTTAAGTATGGCAATCAGATTTGGCCGGGTCGGTGAAGTCACATGTGCCGCAGCAAAGTGATTGCAATGTGCACTTTAGTCCTGCTCAAGTCCAGATCAAACCGCATCTAGTGTGGAAGATCGTGAATTTGGTGGTTCCACGTTTTAGTCTTTAGGAGTCCTTAAAAAAGCTGATCACTTGTCGTTTTTTGGAATGTATGCTCCTCGAATCTGGTCATTCTGTTGCGCTTTTGCGTTAATTGATATTATCACGCTTATCCATCACTAATATAAAGTTTCTGAATCATGGCTGTGTGCATAGACCGAAGTTCATGTAACGAATTTTGAAAAAAAGGGCTGCAACTTTTGTTCAGCCTTGCCAATCTTGCTAAAATCAACCGCATAATATTTTAGACCGGCCATTTCATCATATCAGATAAAGCCAACTTTACAAGTGTAGCCTTTCCCCGGGACTTAATTCGAAGCCGGTACCAGTTCCGAAACACTGATTCTGAAATTCATCCACCTAAAGTGTGCGTTTTGTGTGCTGGAGAAGCATGACAAAAGCTAACTACTCTGTCATTGTCACCATTGAATCATGACGGGTAGCCCTTGAAAGTGGGTGGACCTGAGCTTTTGTAGCGAAAGGTCTTAGAAAAGGCGGGTTATAAATTTGTGTTGATATTATTAAAACCCAAGTAAACTCACTCAAACTTTCAAAATATGTTATCCGGGCACTAATGTCGTTGTAAACGTCGAAAAGAGAGGCACTCAAAATTCACAATTATTTTCCGTTACAGTTCATAATCGGTTGCACGAAGATGGGTTTCGTAGTTTTCTGGTGTACTGTACTGTATTGAGCGTCAGCGACCAAGTGCAATATTGTTGCACAAATGTGTTGTCACATATTCACCACGTGGATACTCATTATGTCGAAATTGCTTTGACTTTTAATATTTAAGCATATGGAGTACCTACATCAACACATAAGTGCAGCCATGTAATTAATTGAAACACGTGAATATTTACTCAAAAAGGGGAAATTTTCGAGGATTTGACCTGGTTGTGAAGATTCTGTGAGCGTACGTTGCTATGTTAAATAACATAATTTGAATTGGCTAGGTGGTTGATTCGAAATATGCCATATTTTAATTTACCAGTTAACACACTTGGGCCGAAGTCATGCCGGTTCGAACGAGAGGTGAAGTCTCCTTCTTTTGGCTTTGATTCGTGTTGCATTTCCACTGAGGCAGTCAAAAACACTCTTCTGTACATTTAAGTGCACAGACTATTTAATCCTTGTCAGCCAGTGCGTAGTAGAAATTTTCTAAGATAAATAATACGTAGATTGTGGTTCTGTTTAAAAAATTGTGACTTTTTTGTTATTTAGGAACTCACCGGGCCCGTCTTCACATTTCTTGTCATTAAAGGGACTCAGGAAAGTCATATGCGCATTCGGGAGTTGGTCGAACTTAGCTCATGCTTAACCAGTACGCAGGAATACGTTGCAAAAGTAACTCAACTTTGTATTCTACCGGACGCACTTGTCTACATTTTCACGCACCTTAGCGAGCATAGACGAATCGAAGCTCTGAAATTTCTTGAGGTAAGAGCCATTGGTCAACCTTACGCAATGAATGTGAACACCATCGTAATCCCACTAAATTGGCAGCAGTCTTTTTGATGAATATTCCAGATGTTGGTTTTTGTGTCAAGTGAATTTAGTTCAATTTATGTAGAGTCCAGATCTCGAGCCTAAGACGTTTTAGGTTATTTTAACCCTGTGTGATGCAATTACCTATTTCTCGAGAAAACCGCTTTCTTGACTTAATGGAAATCTAGTGGCGAAATGTCAAAACTAGCCTTAAGGTAGCAGCTGCGAACCAACTTATGTCATTCAAAACAGCCACTACACTGTCTGTTCGTGAAAACCGAAGTTAACTTTTTGCCAACCCATCAGAGTACATCAACTTAGGTGTGGGTTTGTTTAACTTTTTCACCTCAGGCACCGGTGGTTTGTGTTTGTCTCTGGTTATTTTGCTGTTTTGCTGTTTCCCTGCTTCTGCACTCCCAACGGACCAAGCCAAAATTGTCAACTGGTCTTTGGCGAATCAAGAAAATGTTAGAGTCAAGGGGAAATATTTTACCTGGTGACAAAGGCTGTTAAAGTGACTAATTCTATCGCGATATTTGTTCATCTTCATTAGTAAATTAGTCCTTGATTTCTCGACGTGTTTTAATGCCCATTAGGCTCACCTCGGCATATCAATAGAACAGGTGACTCGGATGAATGACGTCTCGCGACTGCTGCACCAATTTGTCCTCTGCCTTTACCCCCATCGTGCTGAGGCGTGTATAGGGCTCCGTTTTCTCGTCAACAAGGCATTGTGCCCTCAGACTCGACCCGTACATGGGCTCCTACTCCAACAGCGTCAGAATGCAGATGTTCAGGCTGAGTCCTCTGCCTCTGATGTCACACCAAACGGAATGGTATATCTCATCAGAGCTATATTGACTGGTCTCCAAGAGTTTGTTTTACTGTACGTCTATGTGTCGCTTCTGTAGGGGGTATTTCTTCAGCAGCACCTGTGTGGTATTTTGGCTTTCTTCGACAGTCGTCTCCTGGATGACGAATCACCGCTGGAAGAGCGAAGACGCTGTCTGTTGAGTTTGGTCATTTTTATGGATCTTGTTGGGAGTCAACCAGTCTCACGAATGCGCGCCAAGTTTATTGCTACTCTCAAGTAAGCCATCGTAGCCTACATTATCTGTAAGGTACTTTTTATTTGTAGGTTGCTTCTATCGTAGTGGGGACCACACGGCAACAGAGCAGTCAAAAACTTAATGCAAAATTCAAGAATTTTCTCTATCTCCATTAACTTTTAGGTTGAAATGACTGTGATAAACGTAGCCCTAAAGCTTTTCTTAATCATTGTTTTAACTTTAGGCTTTGTCTCCGTTACAAGTTCGTCGAATCGAAGACGGTCGTCCATTTATGGACCTTGTTCCTCAAGATGTAGGTCGAGTAAAATCACCACGCAGCTTTTAGTTGCCCATATTCTTGCTTTACTCGTGTGTCCTTTCACTCAGGTT